TAGTGTCAACTTGATTAGTTGCCAAAATCGCACATACTAATGCATACATTTTACAAAATTCATCTCTAAAGTAGAAGCAATCTTGTGTAGATACAATTCTTGCTAAATGAATTGGGTGTATCAATTTTTGCTAAATGAATCCGTATCTTTCCCATGAGCCAACACTGTTTCATAAATTCATTCCAAAAAACATTGATAGGCTTGTTCTACGGGACAAATACATAGACAAATCTAGGAGCTGATACAGATTCTTTCGCGCATTAAAGATTCAATCTTTTCGTCATCATCGGGTGTATCAACTCCATGAGCTTCATGATCCACCTTTATAACCTGTAAACAACCAACATAGAAACCTTAATGCCTTAAGATCTAAGTTACTTCTCTCTATATTCTCTAAAGCCAAGGCTCAATTCTTTGGGATGTTATCTCGCCTGACATGCATCTTTTCTTTTTTTTATGTGAAAGAAATTATCATAATAGTGGGAAAGGATTCTGTTACCTTCATTTTGTAGCCATTCTCAAGGACTTTGAGCTGCTCTAGATCCTCTTCTTGTTGCAATGGCGTTGGTTGAAGCTCCGAATATACTTTCAGATCGACTATCCATCCGCCAAATATACCGTACAGATCGACTATCCATCCGCCAAATATACCGTACAGATCGACTATCCGTCCGCCAAATATACCGTACAGATCGACTATCCGTCCGCCAAATATACCGTACAGATCGACATCCGTCCGCCAAATATACCGTACAGATCGACATCCGTCCGCCAAATATACCGTACAGATCGACTATCCGTCCGCCAAAATATACCGTATCACTATAAATCTTGGTACCATGTGACTAAGTGAGCCTTTGGTTGGGTCCATTACCCGGCGGCTATTCAAATTCCATCAAATGTATGAATTTCAATTTTAAGTTGACAGAAAATGATTCTCAGTTTTAGTATATTTTTTTAAACATGTTTCAAATTATTTGCGCTCCTTCAATGTATTCCTTTTTTCCATCCTACAAATGATAGACGTATATAATAAAAGACGCGAAAAGTGGATTCAAATCGGAATAAAAATGTTATCAATCAAAGCGTAGAGTAATAAATTATACTATATGACATTCTGAACCATCCATATCTATCTTAAAACCAAGAAGATTGTTGACAAGAGAAGGACAACGTCAACAAAAAGGCCATGTTACTTATTCAAATTAAGAGATTATGTCTTTAGTATGAGGCTAAAATTTGCCGATAAAAAATGATAAATGCACAGTCATACAAGTTACGTTCCATACGTTGAAGAGTAGACAACAATTATTTTTGACAATTCAATTAAAAGCTCTTGGTTTCGCCTTTTCTGGTGGAAGTGACAACTGCACCGGACGTTGTGGGTTCCGGCTCGGTCACTGGTCCGGACTTTCAGGGATCGTATGATTCAACAACCAACTCATTCTTTTCAATGATTTTTTAAAACCCGAGTCGCCGCGTGGAAAATTTTAAAGTTTAAGAGATATTCATAATGATCAATTACAATGATTTAAATCGCAATGAAAATACCTTAACAAAAAAAAAAGTACTCAAACCTTAGTTCTTAACTTCATGCTAAGTAAAGTCTATCAACTACTAAGTACTAACTCATTCTTTCAAATTTATTTGGGACTCATTCTTTCATCTTAAAGTAGAGTTCTTCGTAGGTGTATCTTATTATAAAAAGATCTTAAGTTTCATAGAGTAGACATTCTCATGCATACTGACTGATTCTTCTAGTGTATATTGTATAATTATTATTTTCGTCAACAAATCCATATACATTACTGAAGGACATTAACCAATCCAAAGCATCATTTTTTTAGAGACGCCAATCGTTGTAAGCATGACAATGCCCCCACAAAGCTTAAGTAACAACCCACAAAGGGCCTCCCACAATATGAAACCAAACAATCCCACATCATTCATACATGAAAAGCTACACTCATTTTATAAACAATCAAATTGATGTGAATACTCTCCATAAAATTAGACATTTCTAAGAACTGATTCGATACCCAACACTTCCAAATTATACACGAAATTGAACGTCTAATTGGCGACAAATCTAGACGAATGAAACAAAATTTTCAACAGGAACAAAATGAAATAAAAAACGAATTGGGTCGATTCGATAGCTGAAACTAGAACAGGATCGAGAAGAAGGGGGCCAAATAGGGGAGAAGCAAGAATCGAACCTCATCATTCATACATGAAAGAAAAGCATAATCATACATCAGGACCAAACATAAAAATTCACAATCCCAAGGAACAAATCAGACAATTCACCACAACGTAATCAAAGTTCTTTAGATGTCTAACCTCTTCACGAACTTGACGAAGCTTGTTGATCACTGCGTCTATCCCAACTCCGCTCGGGCCACTGATAACGATGACGATCTCATTCGGCGGTGGGATAATTGGATCGGCGGTGAAAGAAGAACCCAATTGAAATTCGAGGGAACGAAGCGAGGGTTTGGTGGGAGATTGGATCGGGGACAAAAACAGATAGAATTGGGTCTCCGATTTGGTAAAACGAACTCGCAATGGTGAGAAACGTCGAGAGAGACGACAGAGAGCCGGTTCCCAAAACTAACTCCAGAGAGCCGGTTCTTCTTATAATTTTGGGTTTTGATTTATTTTTGTTAACATTAACCAGAGAACCCCCTCCCAAACCAACTAAAACCTACATTTGGAGATGCTCTAAGAACTCAATGAAAGACACAGAACTTAATCCTAGATGAGAAATACAACAAAAACCCTTAATCGAAATCGCAATTTCGCAATTGACAAGGTGTAAAACTTTTATTCTCTTTACCTAATCCTTCAAACCCAACAATTGTTTAACGGATCTTAGCCGCGGACGATAATCACCAGGTAAATCCATTTTTGAATTCAATTTCACATTGATATATCGTTGGAATTGGGAGAATAGGAGAGAAGATGAAGTTGTCATAGGAAAAAAAGGAGAAGAGAAGAGAATAGATGTCGTCAATGGAGGCGGAGAAGATGACGAGAGAGATAAAAAGAAGAAATGTAAAAAAAAAAAGAGAAAAATAATTTATTTTAATTTCAATGGCATGATTGTAAATAAAATGGTTTGTTGAGGGTTTGGAAGTCACTTAAACAGTAGTGCACAGTGGAATATGGGGATTCTTCCGATTGTAAATAGTATCTGTACTAGTTTTACAATTAAGTTGTAAAAACGTACTATTTTCCCAAATATCTCATTTTTTTTATCATCAATCATTGGCCTAAAACGTGAGAAAATAGCTAAAAAGAAATGGCCTAGCTAGACCTAAGAAAAAAAACATTCATTGTTTCAATCGTAGATGCAGGGTTAAATATTGGAATATAGTTATCAATATACTCAGAAAACAGAGTCCAACAGAAGAAATATATACAGAAAAAGGTGTAGGGTTAGTACTTAGTAGAAAAAGACGAATAGAGATTCTAGAGACTCCAGTGAGTAATATTGGTGGAAGTCATTAATATGAATTTGCGGTGAAATTAATGTCCCTAGCTGTTATCCAAATGTGGAATCAACACTGTGACTTCACTATTTCTCTTCGTCATCCTAAAACTCTCCCTATTGCTTTCTCTTAATTCTCTCTGTGTTCTCTTAGATCCGCAATAACATACAAAGGTCCACAAGTGTAGGAGAGTCTCTCCTATTGAGAGTAATTGTGGTGATATTAGTAAACCTGTAAACGTAAAGCTTTCTTGTGAAAATATATGAAGCAGTAATCAAGTATTTAACTATTATACGAAAAAATTACTTTAATTTAATTTAATGTCAACTAGAGTCTAGAGTGTAGTGGTAAACTTTCACAAGTAGCATCACATATAGTTTTTTATTTATTTATAATAAAGTAGCATCAAAGTTATTTTCCTATATATGTTCCTCGTCAAGTTTGAGGTTTGTGGATTTGTTAAGGACAAAATATGGCCTTTATTAACAGGCTTTGTATAAACGAATATATTGGTTTGGTCCCACCCGTAGGCCGTATCACAGCTAAATAAAATAAATATTTGCTAACTTCTTTTTTTTTATTTAAAAATATTTGCTAAGTTTAATTGCATTAATACGTTGAAAACGACTAAGAGCATGGGCAGTGAGAGTCTCTCACTAAAGTCTCTCAGATAAAAGAAAATTAATAAAATAATAAAAAGTATTATTTAATTGTGAGGGTTTCTCCAAAAAGTTGAAAAAGTCTCTCAAAGTCTCTCAAGTGAGAGACTTTCACCACTTTTTTGAGAGACTCTCACAATTAAATAATAGTTTATATTATTTTATTAATTTTCTTTTATCTGAGAGACTTTGGTGAGAGACTACCACTGCACATGCTCTAATACTTACATCGAATGTGAAGTTGTGAACCAATAAAAAGAAAAAAACATAAGAGAAGAAGTTGTGAACCATATACATTTGAAGATTATATATATGACATATCACTCCCATATTGATGATCGAATAAAGTTTTGAGACAACTTTTATCGTATATTATGGAGAATGCATAAATCCATTGAATTTTTTTACAGTATCATTTAAGATTTTGATTTTCAATATTGATGGTTTTGTAGGGTATAAGAAATTATGACAATAATTGACGTTATATTGGTGGATTGGGCTTCGTGAGATTCTAATGGCCCCCGAGTAAGGTACTTCTTTGATTACCGTTGGTTAATGAATGAGCGGCTTATACAGTGTATCATTTACACAACATTCACAATTCGTTTTTTGTAATTAATTACCAAAGATAGAAATATACTTCAAAGTATTTATCGTCCATTAATCAATAATAAATGTCTAAAAATAAAAAACAAAACATTCTAAGTAAAAACCATATCTTCCTCCAAAATCCCTTACCTCCCAAAACTAAACAAACACAACAAACCACCCTAAATTTAAAATCCTGTTTTCTTAAATTAAACCTCTTCCTTCACCAATATAATCTCTTTCTCACAACCCCATTCCAAAAAGAAAACTAGAAACCCCAAGAAAAAGAAAGAAAGATGGATCTTCGAACAAGAATGATCCTTGTCCTAACCCTAGTTGTAATGTCCGTATGGGGTTTGGACGCATCAGCAATGCAAAAGACGAAATTCGACGCGCCACTTTTGACTGAAAAAATCGCAACGAATAGATCGATAATTGTCGATATCGAAGGCAAAGGAGACTACACTTCGGTTCAAAAAGCCATTGATGCTGTCCCTGTTGGTAACTCAAATTGGATTATCGTCCATGTCCGTAAAGGAATCTACAAGTACGTATACTTTTAAGAGGTTTAACCATTAAATTATTCGATATGCCTAAACCATGCTCTATATGTGTGTGTATACATATAACCAAGTTGTAATCTAATATACATTACTGTACTTATAGTTATACAAGACTCGATTTTTGGTATACAATTGTGGATTTACGTAATTAGGACATTTCTGATTTTGAATTTGATGATTTATATAGGGAGAGAGTGCACATTCCTGAGAACAAGCCGTTCATATTCATGAGGGGTAATGGAAAAGGAAAAACGGTGATCGAATCTTCGCAAAGTTCGGTCGACAATGTTGCTTCAGCCACTTTCAAAGTCGAAGCTAATCACTTTGTCGCTTTTGGTATTAGCATCAGAGTACGTATAAAAATGTAGATTTTCAATTTTTTTAATTCTTTTTAGATTATGTCAATTAATGACATTTGTATAATGAATATACAGAATGATGCACCGATCGGAATGGCATTCACGTCTGAGAACCAATCGGTGGCAGCGTTTGTGGCTGCTGACAAAGTAGCGTTTTACCATTGTGCGTTCTACAGCTTACACAACACTTTGTTTGATAACAAAGGAAGACATTACTACCACGAGTGTTACATCCAAGGCTCCATCGACTTCATCTTCGGTCGCGCAACTTCCATTTTCAACGTACATTTTTCCTCACTATACACATTCTCCAAAACATTAGCATAATAGAAAACTAATTAATTCCAAATATTGTTACAGAATTGTGAGATATTTGTGATATCGGACAAGAGGGTTAAACCGTACGGGTCAATCACAGCACACCATAGGGAAAACGCAGAGGAAAAGACGGGTTACGTGTTCATAAGAGGCAAAGTATACGGAATTGATGAGGTTTACTTGGGCCGAGCCAAAGGACCTTATTCTCGAGTCATCTTTGCCAAGACTTACTTGTCCAAGACCGTTGTGCCTGATGGTTGGACCAACTGGAGTTACCACGGCTCAACCGAGTTAGTCCTTTATCAACTTTTTAAACCTAATTTAGACGAGTTATTAATTAATAAACTAATACTCTTGAGATTTGATCGATCAGGAATTTATACCATGGGGAGTATAAATGTCATGGACCAGGAGCTGAGAGGCAAAAAAGATCTGATTGGGCCAAAGAGCTTACCAAACAAGAAGTTGAGTCTTTCTTGTCCATTGATTTTATTGATGGCACTTCTTGGCTCCCTGTTTGGCTTCAGCATAAGTCTTAGAATTCCTTATGCTGTCGCGTTTGGCTTTTGGCATTTCGCGTTTTGGTGTGGCTTGGAAAAAGAAAACATACGAAGAAAGAAGAGTATTTCATCTTTTCTTCGACGGTATACTATACGAAATAGTTTTCTCTTATTTTTTTTGTTTTTTGTACTTCTACTCTAAAGTGTTCTTAGAGTGATTGGAAACTCTTATGTTGTTTGCAAACATTATATAAGATGGTTTCCGTTTTAATAACATATGTAACCTAAAGTTGAAATCATATAAATTCAAAATATTTTCCCGAACGATTAGAGAATAAATGTTGCAAACGAAAGTGAATATTGGGAAATGGTTTAAAAAATTTAAGTATGGTTTTTCATATATAGTAAAGCGCACAAATTAAGGAATATAAAATATGATATACTTTTCTTTTCGTATGACTTGGTACATAAGTAACTAGCCCTAGCTTAGTTCAAGCCAAGAATAGATTTTGTATGAACAATTACTGGAATTTAAAATCCACCGCCAAATCCACCACCAGAACCACCACCACCACCGAATCCTCCACCAGCACCTCCGCCAGCTCCTCCACCAAAGCCTCCGCCCGATCCTCCACCAAATCCTCCGCCAACACCTCCACCGTGACCTCCGCCTGCACCACCACCACCACCAAATCCTCCACCAGCTCCTCCACCAGCACCTCCTCCTGCACCACCACCGAATCCTCCACCTGCACCTCCACCAGCACCACCGCCAGCTCCCCCACCAAATCCTCCTCCGGCACCTCCTCCAGCACCGCCGCCTACTCCCCCACCGGCACCACCTCCAAAACCTCCACCATGTCCTCCGCCAAGACCACCGCCACCACCAGCACCACCTCCAAGTCCTCCACCGGCACCTCCTCCAGCACCACCACCAATACCTCCACCAGAACCTCCTCCGGCACCACCACCAATACCTCCACCAGAACCTCCTCCAGCACCACCACCAATACCTCCGCCGTGGCCTCCTCCGAGTCCTCCACCAGCACCTCCTCCTAGACCACCACCAGCACCTCCTCCTAGACCACCACCAGCACCTCCTCCGGCACCACCACCAATACCTCCGCCGTGGCCTCCTCCGAGTCCTCCACCAGCACCTCCTCCTAGACCACCACCAGCACCTCCTCCGGCACCACCACCAATACCTCCACCAGCACCTCCTCCAGCACCACCACCAATACCTCCTCCTCCACCGGCACCTCCTCCGAGTCCTCCACCAGCACCTCCTCCTAAACCACCACCAGCACCTCCTCCGGCACCACCACCAATACCTCCACCAGCACCTCCTCCAGCACCACCACCAATACCTCCTCCTCCACCGGCACCTCCTCCAGCACCACCACCAATACCTCCACCGTGGCCTCCACCAATGCCACCTCCTAAACCGCCACCATGGCCTCCACCTAAACCACCACCAAAACCTCCACCGGCACCTCCACCGCCACCAATTCCTCCACCAAAACCTTTCCCACCACCAAAGCCACCGCCAAGTCCACCACCACCACCTCCTAACGTCTCCTTCTCAAGCCTTCTACTCTCCACAACCCCAATCACCACCAGTACAAGCATCAAACCCAAAAACCCAAACGATACTTTCCCCATATCTTTTAATAAGTGTTGTAGTATCGTGTGATTCAGTATACAAGTGTTATAGCTCACTTGACTAAGCCGCTAACACTATATATAGTAAGTACTAAGTACAAAAATCATTTATGAGATATGGTTGAGAGACCTTCAAGCTCTTTTTTCATACCGCGTTTCTCCGCATGTTCTCATGTCCCAATCTCTCATGTTCAAATTTTCTACGAAGCAATTAATGAGTGACACCAAGTGCCTCTTTTTATATTAATCTCCCTCTATTCCTATCATAACCTGTCATCCTTTATTTAATTCCATGTGCACCTAGTTTACGTACTGAATATTGTATACAGCTTATAAGTTGTAGCGACACTCTCTCCTTTTGTTCGTATTATTTATACTCTGATGTGTTTTCTAACCAATTGAATTGATGAAATTATAAGGACTTTTGTAGAATAAGAACGTGCAGAGAAAACTCAAAACAAATACTAGCTTGAGGAGACACTGTGTGGGAAGGTGAGGATGTGTAATTAAATTTAAGAATATCGTACTCTTTTACATTTAGAGCTTCTCAACTACTTTGGATTTGGTAGCCACATTCAATGCAGAACCCCCACTATCATTTTCATTATTCGCTCTAGCAAGTGAGTCTGCGAATATATCATCCTTATGCCCTTATTTGACTTTTTTTTTTTTTTTTTTTTGTTAAAAGGCCTCCCTTATTTGACTTATGCATAAGAAAACAAAATTGTAGAAAATATAATGATATATCTTTAGTGTGGTTTTGAATCCATGATAAAAACTTCTGTAAAATATATTGACCATAATCGTCCTGTAGTAAATGTAGCATTTATTTACATTTCCTCTTATTCGTCGTTGTTTTTGTTTTTTCCTTTGTAATCAACTAGATCATTTTTTGTTGTTGATGAAAAAAACCCCATCTAGATCATATTCAAATTATAAGTCCACGTTTATTTTTTCCGACAGGTTTTCATTAGAAATACATACGGTCGCCTTCGAGTAACAATTTGTTTCCGACCTTATTTACATTTTTTTTTCCGGAACGGCCAACGCCACTAGTTTTGCTAGAAATAACTGTGTATATTGTATCTAGGGTGTTATGTTAGGGCTGCTTTCCATTTCAAACAGCCAAACATGTTAGATAGGTAAGTTATGTTTTGGTCGTCGACAAAAAAAGAAGAAGTTATGTTTCGGTCCACCTACTTTGATACGTCGTATCAAACTATCAATCATAAATGTTCATAATCCACGCATTGTACTACATGATGCATTTTGTATTCCGATTTGTTGGATTTCACACAGCTAGTTTTCGACAACTTTTATAGTTGTGTAGTCTTAGCTTTCGTTGATACGCAAAGGCTTTTATTTTGGGCCAAATCATGATTTTTTTTGGGTCCTAAACGAAGATCTCGAATTATAGATAGTTCAATAATACCATATTTATCATGTGTCATCGTTATATGCAGTCTTCTGGTAGAAATTTTCTTACTCTCGAGCATTTTTCAACTGTAACAAAATAAAAATCATAGCTAAAATTGAAGAAACAGAAAAAATTATTTCCAACCTCTTGTTTTGGTCTTATATCTGACGAGATATGATTCGTTGACTACGAACTTAATCATGCACCTATCCACACCAGAGTGCTACTGATTCTTTGGCTAAGAATCTCCCTCTAAGCATCAAACCACTAATAGATTACCACGTGTCACTGAAATCCAGTTCAGCTAAGCCATTCAAAAACTTTAGCAACGTGGCCGGTTATTGCACAGTAGTATTCTCCGGTGAATTACCAAATCACCCTTAATGTAACATTACAATAGACATAAAACATGAGATTGATATAAGGGTAACATCGTACTTTTCGTGACCATCATTCTTCTTCCCCGAGCCCGCCTGGCTTCTCCGTTTCTCCTCCATGAAAGCTCACAAACGGTTTTATCAGTTAACGCTTTTTTGAACAATGCACTTCTTCTTCGTCCCGACTTCTTCGTCTTCATCTCCTTCTCCGGCCAATACTTCTTCATTCTCTTTATTGTTTCTCGCTCCTTCTCAAATTCCTGAGAATCTCTGTAAATTGCCGGCGAAGGTCCATATCGGAACTCATGGAATCTCCGGCCAATCGTTTCTCACACATCCTACGTTCTCATCTAAGAACACGACTCTGTATGCAGTCGTCGACAGGTCTTCTTCAGGTGTATTTTCGTCGCAAAATGAATCTGCCAATGGCGAAGGAGGGGAATCTAACACGGAGGGAGTATTAGTAGTTCGACGGCCGTCGTTGGAGAATTCCGATAAGGAATCTAGTGAGGAAGAGGGAAAAAAGTATCCAGCGAGGATTGATGCTGGTCTCAGTAATATAGCTAAGAAGATGCCGATATTTGAGCCGGAGAGATCGGAGTCGTCGTCGTCGACTTCCGCCGCGGCTGCTGCAAGGGCTCAAGAGAGGCCGCTTGCGGTGAATTTGGACTTATCTCTGTACAAAGCAAAGGTTTTGGCGAGGAATTTCAGATACAAAGACGCAGAGAAGATTCTAGAGAAGGTACCATCGCTTTCTTCTGCCGTTTGGTCAGGATGATTCAGTGTATGATCATGCAATTCTGATCGTTCCAACAATCAATTTGTAGGATGAAATTAGAGAATTGTTATCAGATTTTTAATGATTGATTGTTGGTTAGCTTCTTGACTAATGATATGTAGAGCCACCATTGAGAAAGAGAGATAAATGTAGCAAGTTGAACATGGTACTGAATCTAATCCTGTGTTGTTGGGTTTTATTAAGTGCATAGCTTACTGGCCGGAGGATGGGAGACCGTACGTGGCATTGGGGAAGATACTAAGCAAACAATCCAAGTTAGCTGAAGCTCGAATCGTGTATGAGAAAGGGTGTCAATCTACACAAGGAGAGAATGCATACATTTGGCAGGTGCAGTATGACTTTTTCATTTGTTATTGACATGAGTTTTGAAGCAATGTGCTTGATACACTTGAAGGCAACTTTTTGTTTCTCATGCATATATCATGTATCATTGTATCCTGCACCAATAACACCATTTTGTTATTGGAACAGTGTTGGGCTGTCCTGGAAAACAGATTGGGAAATGTAAGAAGAGCCAGAGAATTGTTTGATGCAGCTACGGTGGCTGACAAGAAGCATGTAGCAGCCTGGCATGGATGGGCAAACTTGGAGATAAAACAAGGAAATATAAGTAAAGCGAGGAATCTGCTAGCCAAAGGCCTCAAGTTTTGTGGCCGTAACGAGTATATCTACCAAACACTTGCCTTGTTGGAGGCCAAAGCTGCTCGGTATGAACAGGCAAGGTACCTGTTCAAGCAGGCCACCATATGCAATTCGAAGAGCTGCGCCAGTTGGTTGGTAAGTGTTTTGCATCATCAGACATGTTTGTGATAAAAGCTAGGACAATGCCATTCTGTAAATTTGTATCGTAGGATTAATCTTCTTAGATAATTTTGTAAAAGGGAATGCTACTCAGCTACTGCCGGTTTAATGAAACAAAATTCTGTCCTCCCCTGTCTTTTCCTGATCAGTCACAGGGTTTAGTTTCTAAAGGTGGCTTGTAATTAGAGGTTAAAAAATGTTCTACATGAGCTTCTCTTTTCTTACTACATGTTCATTTTTATGAACAGGCATGGGCACAGTTGGAGATACAGCAGGAAAGATACCCAGCTGCTAGAAAACTTTTTGAGGTAACTGCCACATCCTTTTTTCTATTTCCCATTCACAGTGAGGTCAACCCAGTGAAGGCTGTATATTCATCCCAGTAATGACTTAGTGGCTGTTTAGCAATCGAGCTACATATGAAAGTTTCAGGCTCTGATCGCGCATTTCTTTTTTCACAGAAAGCTGTCCAGGCAAGCCCCAAGAATAGGTTTGCGTGGCACGTATGGGGGGTGTTTGAAGCTGGAGTAGGTAATGTTGAGCGTGGAAGAAAGCTCCTGAAGATAGGTCATGCGCTAAATCCTAGAGACCCTGTTCTCCTTCAGTCCCTTGGCTTACTGGAATACAAACATTCATCTGCTAATCTTGCCCGGGCTTTACTAAGGAGAGCATCAGAGGTTGATCCTAGACATCAACCTGTTTGGATTGTAAGTATACAAGATTCAAATTTGTTGCTTTTACATGATCGATCTGCTCAAAATAGTTTTGGTTATACGTTCTCCTTAAGTTTGAGCTTTAGATTTTTGCTGATAGTTGTTTACTCCTTTTTATTGGTTTTAAGTTGTAAATAAACTTAAACATTTACTTAGTAGACCTTGGTTTTACCCAGTTCTATCTGCTAGCGAATTCAAGAGTCTTTATACTCGTGTATGGAAGTAGAAAATGAAATGATTGGTGAAAGTGTATTCCGGTTTAGGCTTGGGGTTGGATGGAATGGAAAGAAGGAAACACAACAACAGCTAGAGAACTTTACCAAACAGCTCTCTCCATTGATGCAAATACCGAAAGTGCTGCTCGTTGTCTACAGGTATAACTAATAAATTCTTTAATTTGCAACTTTGTGGTCCTCTCAGCGAATGAACTGAAAGACTGTATAAACGAGGGAAAGAGACTTATTAGCCAAAAACTTGCTGAATTATAAATTAGCTGGCAAGTTTGCTAAAACATTAGCATATTATTTGGAGGATGCTGAAACAAATTCTTTGTCTCTACAGGCGTGGGGAGTTCTCGAGCAGAGAGCAGGAAACTTATCAGCAGCTAGAAGATTATTTCGATCTTCACTGAACATTAACTCACAAAGCTACGTTACGTGGATGACATGGGCACAACTTGAGGAAGATCAAGGAGACTCCGAACGTGCTGAAGAAATCCGTAACCTCTATTTCCAACAAGTAAGCTTTTGTACACATTCTTGATTTCTAGCAGGATCTTCTAGTAGAGTTCATATTAATCTTTACTTCATTGCAAAACAGCGCACAGAGGTCGTTGATGATGCGTCATGGGTCACAGGATTCTTGGATATCATTGACCCGGCTTTAGACACCGTTAAAAGGCTCTTGAACTTTGGTCAGAACAATGACAACAACAGGTTAACTACTACTCTTAGAAACATGAATGGAACCAAAGATAGCCAATCCAATCAGCAACCCGAGAGCTCAGTGGGACGCGAGGACATTGAAACTGGGAGCGGATTTAACCTCGATGCATTTTTACGCGAGAAGCTCTCGTTGGATCCTACGAAGCTGGACGTTAACCTTGATTCTAAGAAGTTAGATAGATTCACTAGAGGGAGAATAAATGGTACTTGAAAAATATGAGGGGATATTTATTGAGGCAGTGTAAAGATGAAGGGTCAAATGTATAATAATTTTGAAGAATTATAAGGTAGCAAATTGTTATAATTTTAAAAAAGGTTTTGGAAGATTCTCACTTATTGGGTGACGAATTTTTTTGGTGAATCCGCGGGTGACGAATTGATTTCGAGGAAAATTGTCTATTTCATTTTTTTTTTAAATTAAATTCCCCGCGAAAGCACAAAAGTACTGAATTCCTCCTGATAAACCGCGGCAATTTCAGTAACGTCAAATCTAGGGTTTTGAATTGGGCATTCGAGCTCCGATGGGGGATTCAAACGGAGCATCGCTCATTGAAATCGATGACCAGGAAGAAGTAGAAGATCCATTTCTGGCTTTCATCGACTACGCCAGAACTATAATTTCACCGGAAGAAGACGAAGATGAGAAGGACGAGAGCAAGAGGGATCCCAGCGAAGCCATGACTGAGGCTAGTGGTCCGGGTTGGGGCTGGGTCGCCTCGCGTATTCTGAAAACCTGTACCGCTTATTCGAGCGGTGTCACTGCCGCGATTCTGTTGTCCGATCTCTCTCAGGTAATGCTATCTCACTCATACTTCGATTTTGATCAGTGTATTGCTTTGGCTTTGTTATTGAGCCTGTTAATGTAGTGATTGTGTAGTCGATTCTGGATGTTTTTTGTTGTAGGCTTGGCATGAGCAAAACAAACCAGGAATGTCAAAGAAGAAGCCGGAACTTATAGATCAGTTGAAGAAGGGTCACAGAAGAAGAAGACTCGCTAATACTGTCACAATTGACTCGATTTATGAGAAGAATTTTTTGTCCATGAACAGCGTTTTGGAAGCTGTTATTATCAATGCCGATGTTCTTCCTGGTATCTAACAAATTCTTGCAGCAGTTTAATTTCCCTTGCCTTACTGTGCCAAATTGGTGGTTTATTCATTTAAACATAAATACTTTTTCAGGTACAAACATATTCATGCTTACACTAGGGGATTTTTGGAGCTCCAACACCATTGATCTCTATCTACATCGCAGGTATGCTTATTGAATAGAGATGAATTATCATCATCTCGGATTGAGATAAGTTTGACTGCTTGTTTATGATGTCTGTATAGAGATTCTTATAAGCATAGCATCTAATGCCTCTTGTGTAGATATTATGAGTTGGTGGAAACACCAAATGGGATTCTTCGGAAAGGCAGAGAGGTTTTGATCACTGGATGCTACCTTCGTACCGCGAGAGAAGGATTTGGCACTCCACGGTTACTTCCAACAGAGTATCTTGTCGTATTACTAGATGAGGTTTGGTTTTTGACAATCTTTTGAAAGAGAAATTAGAACTGCAGTATTGGGTTTGCATGTAGTTAGTTCTAACACATCACATTTTTTATATGAAATTTCAAACACTGCAGGACCAAGATGATGATGCAATCCTCATAGCAGCTCAATTTTGTTCCGATACTTTCTCATCTGTTTCTCTTGATGCTTTCAACGATGGAACTTCATACTCTCTGTATGCTAGGTAAGCGAGTAAGTGGGTGTGATATCACTTAATACCAGTCTTGGTAAAAGTAACTTACTATTCATATTCCTAGTTGCAAACACGTTCCAGAAACTTCAAACACTTGTACACTGATTAAAGTTATCAGATCAAAACCTTTTGGAAGTAATGAGTATCATTCCAAGTGTTGTGATTTCATAGTAAAATTGTAGAAAGATGCGTAAAGTACCCCATAACAAAAGTATATGTTTTGAGAAATTGAGTGGTTACCATGACTTAACTTCTATTGCTGTTATTTCTAAAGTAATATTTCATTTTCCCTTCTTGGTTTGAGAGCAGGATTGAATCTATAGGTCCTCTGGAATCTGAACTCACGTTTAGTACTGCACATAGAAGGCAAATTTCACTTGTAGATGGTGATGGCGATAGGTTGAAATTTATCTTATGGGGAGAGCAAGTCATTGTGGCAAACCTTTTAAGGTAAGCTCCTGGCTGGGTGCTTCTACCTTACATTTTTCTACCAACCCCTTCTTAATGATTCATTTTCAGTGTGGGAAGTGTGCTTGGGCTTGAGAGGCCTTATATTTCTAGTCTCGAAGAGAGTGCAATGGAAGGAAAGGATGAGTTCTGCCTTGAATATGGTAGCGCAACACATCTCTATCTAGTGCCATCAACCTTACAAGAGGAACGGGTAGATGAAGTTTTTTTGCTGCTCCTTTTTTTCAGGTTCAGATTTTTGCATTGATTTTTGATGTCACCAATGTGGAGTGATTTGTTTTTTTCTTCAGGTTTGTGTAGCATTGTCACAACATCAGTGTCAAGGATCTAAACTGCTTGGTTCAGTCGGAGTTTCGCAGGTGACATTGCCTCGTGACGCCGATGGGTCTATAGACTTCAGTAATTATCCTTTTCGGGTGAGTAGAAGTTAAGATACCATTTTATTCAAGCATGATAGTAACTGATGGTTATGGTAATTGATATTTGTAAAGTTGTCAGAGGCTAATGTCATGGTTGGGATGTTTGTATGGAAGTGTGACAGTATCTTTTAAATGTATATCAATTAATCATGAGACTAGTTGGTGGCTTATCTTTCTCCCTTTGTTTAGAAATCCGGTAATAGGGTAGGTTCTTCCACAATTCCGTGTTAATGGGATCCCACTGAATCTAGGTTCATATCGTTACAAATCCTATTCATGTGCATGTCATTTATTGGTTTTTCTTTTCATAGCACCAAAATGCATTCATATGTCTTACATTTTTTGCTTGTATTTGACTTGTGCGCACAATATCATCTCTGTTGGAAATTCACAGCCTTGTATGCCTAGCAACTTAGGGAAAGAAACCAATGGTTGAAGAGATTATATATTATTCAGATCATACGTAAAGCCTGCTCTGGCTATTATTTGAGAATCTATTTCTTAGCTGTATCTGCTAATATTCCTCTCCTTGGTTGAAGTTCTGCAGACGATAATAACGGACATTCGTGACAAAACCACTGGCATCAGTCTTTATGGGGTTGTAACAGACATTTCATGTGATCCAAATGCAACAGGAGTGGTCTTTTCTTTGAAGATTGAGGACACAACTGGAGCAATATGGGCTAAGCTCCATTTTACCAATTACTGGTATAAAAGTGTTTCATGAATCTCGAAACGACATCGGAGCAGCTATTTGAAGCCTCGAACATTCTGTTTAATGAGCTGTTTATGTTTATGGTTTCCAGGTCGGTGGGAAGGTTAGGGCTTGGTCATGTCGTGTACGTGTCTGGGTTATCCTGCAAAATCACAAAGGAGAATTAGTAAGCCGTCTCTCTTGCTTTGAAACTGATAGCTATGCGCCTATGCTCATGCATCACTACATGAATTGAATACTTATCAATAAGTATCAGTAGCCAGTAGGTATTGATTTATTGCTTTAGCTTAATAAACATAAATGGAATTCTTGTTTTTGGTTGAGCAGTCTTGAGGTGTTATGGCATGAAAAGGACGAGAAAGCTACATTCGTCAACCTTAGCTGCTTGCCTGCATTTCTGACCTCTTCTTGTATTCACAAAATCTCTACTCTCTCCCAAATTTCAAAACAGAGAAAACCTGCAATAAACGTATGTCTCACTTTCTAAATGATTTGCAGACCTTTATTTGTTATTTTATATGTACACCTCACTCATTCATGTGTTATTTGGGACAGATTTGTCGGATTAAGCTGGATGAGATCGACCAATGCCGTAACATTAACACTAGATTAGCTCATAGCCTTTGCGGCCATTTCATAGACGAAGAATCATCATCATCATCATCATCATCATCATCATCACTGTATTGCAGTTTCTGCCGAGTAAGCTGCAATAATAACACAGGATCAGAAGTAGTGAGAACATTCCACATAACGATAACACTTGCAGACGAGGAAACCAGACTATACGCGTGGTGTACTGGTCAGTCCGCAGCAGCTATACTTCAGATATCTCCTGATGAATTCTGTGACCTCCCTGAGGTAACAAAACAATCTGTTATCATTCATATATGATTTGGTTATAAAAGTAGTTAATTTATGGCGGTAAAATGAATGAATAAAAGAAGCAATATAAAATTGGTGGTTCAGGATGATCGGCTAATGTATCCGTCTTCACTAGAGAACGAGTGGTTTCTAGTGACCTTAGCAAACAGCGGTAGCCGGAATTCGGGTTCCGGTCATGAGACGGAGGCCACTTGCTGGGAAATCACACGCGCTCTCAAGATTTAAAAGCTACCTATTTTTAATTTTCTTTTTTCTTAAAATGATTAGATGAAAAAAACAGAATCTGACCGTGTTAAAATATCAAATTAGTGGAGAGACTTGTCTGAATTTAAGAACGTGAATGTCTGTTTGTCTTTTTTTTTTTTTTTTGCTTTGGTCCGTGTTGAAAAAAAAGGGTGGGCCCAGACTCCACCCTTATCTTGTCCGTTAGATTTTTGCCTCCGTGAAGATATTTTGCACCCACTGTTTTTGTGAGCTGTTTTAATTGTAAGGCTGCGATCGGTCGTGGACTCCATCCAACGGTCGAGATGTATTTAGATCGTTAGACAGCATTACAACGAATAATCAAAATTATCAATCGTTGATTTCACAATCTCCTTAAGTCTAGTCCTTCTTCCTCACCAGAACCCAATTGTCTTCGAGTGTCTCTACAGAGAGAGAGAATCAATTAGCTTTCAATATACAGAGAGAGAGAGAGAGTTATGGCGGAGAGTGGTGGACGGAGGATCGGAGTGGCAGTGGATTTCTCGGAGTGTAGCAAGAAGGCTCTGAGCTGGGCGATCGATAACGTGGTTCGCGACGGAGATCATCTAATCCTAATCACCATCGCTCACGATATGAATTACGAGGAAGGCGAGATGCAGCTATGGGAGACCGTTGGATCACGTACCTTCTTAATCTCTCTCTCTCTCTCAAATTCCTGTTTCACCTTTATTGTTTTCCTGGAAACGTGATAGAGAAATTGTGTGCGATCGCTGATGATTTATATATGATTCTTCGCTTTGTCTGATCTTGCAAACCTGTGTTGAAGGAACCTGACCTTATTTATGCATCGTTTGATCTACAATTTGATTCTGTATGCTTTGCTTGTTTAAATTTGGAAAGAATCTATTTCAAGTAGTAGTTGATCGTGTTTTGCTCATGATCATCTTAATTCTTTCCCAAGTTTTTGGTTTGAATTTCTACAAATGATGTTCTTGTTGTTTGACTCTGGTTCTGTGTTTGTAACTTTTCAGCTTTTATTCCCTTGAGTGAATTCTCTGATGCTGCTGTGATGAAGAAGTATTCAGTAAAGCCAGATGCTGAAACTCTTGACATTGTCAACACTGCCGCTAGGAAGAAAACGGTAATGCTTCTTCTTATGGTCCCGTGTTTAAAAGAATAATCCATAAAACCTGTCTGCAACTTGAAACACTTTCATGCTTAGAAAGTTATAGTTTACTAATATTCACATAAACAATACCTGAATTTGAATATCAAGTTTATGATTCCAAAAGGTGGTGATCTTCCAGTTGCCGATAGTTTATGAATATGAATCAGTAAAGAGTACCGATAACACTTGTACACAACAATCGTCTATCTCTGGTGTTCTAGAAAAATTAATCTGAGGAGTGGTCCAACTATTGTGAACGAGACTTTCTTTACAACAAGTGTTTGGTTTTGTGTTAAACGATGATCCAACTATTGTGAAACATGTGCAGGTTACAGTAGTGATGAAGATATATTGGGGAGATCCTCGTGAGAAGATTTGTGCAGCAGCTGAACAGATTCCTCTCTCAAGCCTTGTGATGGGTAACAGAGGCCTGGGTGGTCTTAAGAGGATGATCATGGGAAGTGTAAGCAACCATGTGGTCAACAATGTTGCATGCCCTGTGACCGTTGTCAAGGCTCACACCTGAGTTTGCTGGGGGAACTCTAAATAATACCACCGTATATTCTGTGATATGTGTTTGTGGTTGAAATTTGTATTGTTAACTGTTGTGTGACTGGTGTATTGTTCATCTGTATGGGTAAAAAACACTTCACCTTCTAATAAATACATTCTCTTGTGAGTTTTGGACCAAACTCCAATCATGTCAATGTGTTTTTTTATTATCATTATGATTCAATTCAAGCATGCTTTCACTTGTCAATGCCAAAGGAAACGATAGGTAGATTTGCATAACAATCTTAAAACAAAGTTCAGGACATTAGTAGTTCTACAGAAAATACAAGCTAAAGAGTTTCAGGGAAATTAACAAATACACATAAAACAGAACAAATGTCTCCATAGATAAGAAAGCACAAGACACTTAACATTCATTCCTCAATCGATCATGTAGTGATCAATCTCATCTCTGGCCTTCTTGGAGGTAAGAAGGACAAACTCGAAGGGTTTGATGAGCTTGAAGGTGCATTTGTCACCAACCATTAAAGGATACTCTCTTGCCAATTTTGAGTATCCACCTGAGAAGATTGTCCTAATCTCCCTCACCAAGCAGAGCACCTTCCATGAACCAATCCCATTCGGGTGACGAACCGTGAAAAACTTAGACTTACTCGGGATATGATCATCCACAAAGTGTTTAGGGATTGCCTGAAATATAAAAACCAGAGACTATCATTATCACAAATGCAGGGACTGTGTTCTTCTTTTGGTTCTGTGTTTTGGTTTGAATATTACCAGGAACTTGAGGTATGATTTCCTTATGGTGATTTTGAATTCTGGAACACCATTCAGCACTTCCTTGCTCATGCTGTTGCTCTTGCTCTTTCTCTTCTTCTTCTTGGATGTATTGTAACCCTCAGCTTTCTTCTTCCTAGCTTTGAGCTCACTTCCTCGAGAAGATTCACCTGTTTCCACACCATTCTTCACTTTCTTTCTCTCCATCTTCTTCTTAGATGATTTGGATTCCTCAGTCTTCCTCTTTCTAACTATGAACTCAGCTCGTCTTGCAGATTCATCAGTTTCCTCTTCCTTCTTCACACCTTTGAAGCTACTCTCTCCTTCTTTCTTGACCCCACCTGTATTTCATCATCAAAGTAAGAGAATTAGTCTTCTTCTTTCTCCATCTTCTCTGTTTCATAAAGCATTACAAGCACAAAGGCTTACTAGAAGAATCCATTGTCTGGAACTTTCGAGGTGTGAGCATCTCTACACCATTCTGCTCGTAGATGTTGATATGAAAGACCATATTTCCTCTGTGAGTGAAGGTAATGAACTCGTTTTCTCCTAAAGCGTTGTCACTCACAAACTGATCCCATCCACGCTTCTCAATGTAGTAGTATCTCGGGTTCTTGGAGATTTCTAGATGCCATGTCTTTCCCCATTGCGCTCTTATCACCATCTTGTAAGAGAAGTCTTTCCTAGAGAGTCTGCTTATGAAGCTGTAAGAAAACGCTCTCTAGTTTGAACAAAACAATGAAGAGTGTTAACAAATAGTTAAAAGAACTTGTTATGTCTCAAGCATCTTGAAAGAAAAAGTTTCAATCTTTCACCTCTAATTATCAAGTTGGTCTTATCATAAACAAGCCTAGCATCAAGAAATCGATAAAAGCAAAGAGGAAAGATCTGAACATAGAGACAGAGAAGCAACAAACTTTATGTTCTTGAGGGACAGAGAAGAAAAGAGTGAAAACAAAAGAAGACACTTCCTTAACATAGAAAGCAGTGGAAAGATTCAACCTTTGATTAAACACATACAACCAAATGATTCTACCTTCTAAACAAAGCTAGCAAGATTTAACTTTTCAAACACAGTGAACTCAAAGATTCAGCCCTTGAGACCCATAAAACACCAGAGAAAGAACAGATTCAACGTTTCAGACATGGAGAACGTAAAGATTCAGAGATTTAACAGATTCAACTTTTCATTTAACAAAGAAAACCAAAAGATTCTACCATTAAACAAAGCTAACAAGATTTTAACTTTTCAAACACAGAGAACCTAAAGATTCAAGCCTTGAAACCCATAAAACAACAGATTCAACGTTTCAAAGACAGAACGTAAAAGATTCAGAGGAAAAACAGATGCAACCTTTAAAACAAAGAGAACAAAAGATGAAACCGTAAACTTGAAACCCATTGAACACAAAGAACAAAAAGATTCCACTTTTCAAACAAAGCTATATCAAGAACAAAGTTTACCATGCATTCAGAAGATAAATCTGCACTCTGAAAAATCTTGAAAAAGCTCAACATCTTCCGTTCTTCTATAATCTTATCAAAACCAATGTTCCTTCTCCTACCCATCTCTCTTTCTTCTTCTCTCTCACTCAGAAACTCTCCTTCAACTTTCTAGTACTTCTTTGTCTCTCTCTCTATCCCTATATCTCTCTCTTCAGTCTCTGATGTTATAAATGGGCAAAAGTGAGTATCCAAATATTTATGCTTCTTTTCAATAAAAACGAGACAAGGTTATAATTATGAAAAAAGCAGTCACATATAAATCAATGTGTTTATTTATTTTTTATAGTAATAGACAGATGAAACAATAGCTGTTATAGACTGACTTCAAAGACACGCAAAAGCAGTGTTTGCTAGTTTTAGTACCTGAGGATCCCTGAGCAATAAGGACTGATAGACTTCAAACTTTCTTCTTTTGTGTCTTGTTTTTGCCACAATCACTATTATTATTTTCATTTCGTATTTATATTATACGATCAACTTCATTTATTCAATTTGAACCTTCGGTAACTTTTTCTCATTTTTTAACGTTATATAGCAGTCAAAGGTCAAACTTGATAACTTTTTCTAAACTGAAAAAGTTAAAACTAAGGTACAAAGATGATATCACATTGTCTATCACACCAAATTAATGTGTCTGATTTATAAAGAAAATACACCAAATTAATCGGTCTCTGTAATTTATAATGAAAATACACACAAATATACACCAAAGGACTCACTACATGTGTATGCATATATGATCAACACTTAATATATTGTTAAACTTGTGAATCTTGACCATGAAATCTATTGGTTTTGAAAATTTTGGAAACTTGATTCTTATCTCAACACATAAAAACATTTAAGACATCATGTACTCAAAATGAGAACTAGTTAAGAACATATTGGAGGTAATCAACTTCTATTAACAAAAGCATCAGTGTATTGATAAAAGGTCGTCAGTGTTTAATTCCAAAATAAATATTGTTAACTTCGTCACAAGCTATAGAATCTATCAACTAAGATTGTAAGACAATGTCACACACAATTATTTACCCCATTATGCACTTTAATCATATTTATAAATATTAAACAACACAAACCCATTTCCCAATAGCAGTGTTGACTTTCCTTCATCGATCAACTTTGACTTTTACCGTCTGGTTTGGTTTGGATCGACGTATGTTCATCAGAGTTCAAGACTGATCCATAAACCCAGCACCATAACCACTTGATCTTATGAACTTCTTCAGGAGAAGAACCACAATTGCGATTGTGAGCCCAACCGCCGCCCACGTAAACAGTCTGTCATCAACTGGCTTCTGAGCCGCTCTTCTGGCCATCGTTTGCTCACCACTAACAGAAGCTTTGGCTGCAACTTCAACTGCTGTTAACGCTGCTGCAGCGGGAACCACATTAGCTGCTGTATTGACTGCTTCAGCTGTCTCTTCTATGATTTGATCATCAACTATGGTTTCTGTTGTAGAGATGGACTGCTCCTCCACTACTGTTATGGATTCCTGTGGCTCAGCTTGGGAGTGAGCCTCTGAGATGGTGGAAGATGTTTGGTTACATTCCAGAGGAAGAGGTTTTGGAACCAATGTTGCTTTGCTAAGGATGTAGTGATGAATCTGCGCATGTTAAAAGGTCATGGTAACTAAAATTGTTTCCAAAACTGAAGATGAATCAGAGGTAGGAAACTCAAGTATATCAACATACATGAAGAAAGGGTCAAGAGTTTAAACCAAAAGGCGATTGTTAACACTACTTTCGTCTAAAACCCATGATAATCGGTAAAATGGTGTTATTTCTTTAGTGACTTTGGCAGCAAATTTTACTGTATGCAGACAATAATAGCTGTGATCGCTGTTAAATAAAGCAGATACGCTTAGAGCAACACTGAATCTTACCCGCTAGAGATATGCAAGCTTAATATATTGTGATGCCATTTTGAGTAACTGCTATTCCAATGGTTTATTATGAAGAAATGGTATAGCCATACTCAACAGGTCCAATAAACATCTCTCAGCGATCTCTCCAAATTCATATTTTTCAGAATTTTATGCATAGTGGTTCAACACTTAAAGGGTGTCTCAGTGGGGAACTATACCTCATCAATAATTTTTTGCCGTTCAGGAGAGCCATACTTGGGTGGTGTCTCACGAGATTTAATGGCTAGTGTACGTCTCTCCTCCTTTGGATAATCTACTGAGCCTAGTGCTCCATTGGGACTTGTGGGCATGAATGCAATCAGAGCCACCAAAGCAGTCCGAACTGCAAAGAAACAAAAGTCAATATAGTTTAACCTTGTGTAAATTACAAATGTCGAGTAGTCTTTTAGGAAACAACGTAACAGTTAAAACATAAGGTCTCTTGTGACAATTTGTTAGTGGTAGAGACAAAGAAATATAAACATCCATGACTTTACCACTCCATGAAGGTTGCCAATGCTCGGGGTGGTAATTTGAAATGCTCAAGCAAATCTTGGTATTGGTTTCAAAGCGACCATTAGGCTGAAACAAAAGTACAGAGATTCATTAGCTACATATTCTACTATTTCATTGGCAACATGTGTGTGTTTTATAAGTGAAAGAAGAGTAAGATCATTACGGTCAATAACATGAATGAAGGGGGTTTGAAAGGGTAATCTGCAGGCAGCTGAATTCTCCCATGATAAATCCCGCCCTCAAATTCAGTATCACCTGGACCTCGGATGGCGAATTGCCACTCAAAGATATTCTCCTGAAGTTAAAAAATAGATAGAGTAATCACGTAAACAATTTGGTATCACACAAAAACTTGTAAAAACAGCTAGTAACCTTGCGCGCAATCTATTTCAACCATGACATGTTGGAAAAAGTCTAAACATTTTAAAAATTAAGAGATTTTGAAACGAAGAACTAGTATGACAGATTGACAGCTGCAGTGGATAAAGGAATGGTTCATAATCTTCCTCAATTGACTCAGTTATTCCAATAAAAAATACAAAGATCCAAACTTCATCTGTTGCACGAGTGTTCAAAGTAGAGAGACTTAGTAAATTCAGTGTATACATGAAGATATCGATCCTTCCTGATCATGATCGCCTAAATCAAACACCATCACTCTTAAAAGATACACAATTACAACACAACACAGCACAACGCAAGGCTTAGAATTTCATTCTAGCTACATAACAGATCGAGAAGATTTTCAAAAATTTCAATTTCGAATTTCAGTTAACCCAATCTCGAATTTAAAACACAACGAAGATTGAAAAAGTAGATAAAAACAGAGAGAAGAAAATTTGAATTATAGATTCAGTCAAAAATTTCCGATCTCAAAAGCTCGAATCATCGGAGATGTTACCTCAAGAGGAAGAGACATAAAATCATCAGAGGGATTTGCTTGCATCTCCTTAACCTCCTGCAAAATCCTCTTCACCGCCGGATTCTTCCGGTTATACCTCTCATCCGCCATATTATCCCCGCCAGATCTTGCCGGAAATGCAATCCGCCGCCGGAGTTCGCTCGGTCCGATTCGTCTTTAACAGAAAATAATAAATACACAAATTAGAATTCACACAGCTTTGGGGAAGTCATTTACTAAACAGAAAAATTAATTCGAAAACATTTTCCACGTCATACTCTTTAACTACGGATATGTGACGTGAGAGAGCTTCCGAGTCATCAAACATCTTAACGGTTCAAAGTTTGCCACGTAATCTTAGAATTTTAAAGCGTGTCTTTTCGGCCGTCGATTTGGAAGAATCATTAAGCAATCGTGGCGAGACTTTAAGAGGCCTTGGGCCATTACTTTAAAGCCCAATAAAACGTGCACGTAACAGATAACAGAAAGTCAAAACGTTGACAGTGACTAAGATGAATCGGTGAAGAAGACGACTCTTGAGAGAAAAGGAAGAAGAAGCAATTTCAATGGAGAAGAAACCGGAGAAGAGAGGGATGATCGACACGTGGATTGATAAGCACCGTTCGATCTATACGGCGGCGACACGCCATGCTTTTGTCGTCTCGATTCGCGACGGATCCGTTGATCTCTCGTCCTTCAAAACTTGGCTGGTACTACTGTAATTAGTAACTACTGATGAAAACAAAGCAATTCTGAAACCTGAAATCTCTCACTCGATGAATTTAAAACGGTGGTGTTTTTGTTGCAGGGGCAAGATTATCTGTTCGTGAGGGGATTTGTGCCGTTTGTAGCAAGTGTGTTGATCAGAGCTTGCAAAGATTCCGGCGAGAGTTCCGATATGGAAGTGGTGCTTGGTGGTTTGGCGTCGTTGAATGATGAAATTGAATGGTTTAAAAGAGAAGGATCAAAATGGGATGTTGATTTCTCCACCGTTGTGCCTCAAAATGCTAATCAAGATTATCGCAGGTAATTGATTTCATATTAGTTGATGCGATACATTTCTCACACTCGAAATTGAAATTAAAAACTAGCAAATAAAGCAGAATTTTTGGTTTATTCAGGTTTTTGGAAGCTCTGATGAGCAATGAGGTGAAGTATCCGGTGATTATGACAGCTTTCTGGGCAATTGAAGCAGTGTATCAAGAGAGCTTTGCTCATTGTTTGGAAGACGGGAACAAAACTCCGGTGGAGCTTACCGGAGCTTGTCATCGGTGGGGGAATGACGGGTTTAAACAGTATTGTTCGTCTGTCAAGAACATCGCCGAACGTTGTCTGGAGAATGCCTCCGGAGAGGTGCTCGCTGAAGCGGAAGATGTGCTTGTACGAGTTCTTGAACACGAGGTCGCCTTCTGGGAGATGAGTCGTGGAGGACAGTAGCTAATGTTTGGGTTTGAATTTCTCTTTTCCTCTAAATTCCTAAAAGAAACAAGTTTCAATCTTTATGTTTGGTGAAACACAAGTTGAAATTATGATTTCATAACATGACTAATAGCTCCTAATACGGATTTGTCTCTGACTGGGGCAGTAGGTTGTTCCCATCATTCCACATAATACACTTACTGGTAACTACATCAACGTCCTAAAACTCTTAAGAAGTCATCCAAACATAGGTTGATGACTGAACAACTGAAACCGAAATGCTCTCTATTCTCTCCAGCGATGACCACAATTCGGGTTGCAGCAGACAAAGAACAGTGTCATTCCTTCTTCGCCTCTAGCCGTAGCCTGCACATTAACAGGCGGTGTTCAGAATTTGAGCATACGTTTTGGGGGAACAAACAGTGAAGATATAGCATTACCAAGTTAGTTAACTAAATAATGGAGCTTAAGATAGTTATACCTGGAAGAAGACGGCCTCGCTATGCTGACACTTAGCGCAACGCACAGCCTTGGTTCGGGGAAGAGTTGGGTCAGAAGCCACGTCAGTTAGGATCTGAGTTCGCTCACTTACAGAGTGATGAACCTCGTTTTTGTACACACAGCTGTAATCAGCTACTTCCTACAAGTCAGTGCCCCAAAAAGTATAAATTTTGAGATGAGGGCAACAAACCCACTTACATGATCTAACCTGTTAATTTGTAACAACAAGATTGAAAATGCAGCTTAAAAATGCAAATAACTACTCAGTTTGTGTAATCAATAAGCTTAAAAGAGACCCTTCAAGTATTCATATAGATCTCATGAACACAACACTAGAAAGATAAACCATAAGAACTTGCTAAGCGTTAATTGAAGGAGTAAGATAAATAGAGAGATTGGTGAAAATAAGGAAACAGTTTCATTAAAGTCTCTTAATTGCAATGAAACTAAGTCCCACTCACAATTTTGTGCACTACATTGAACACTAAAAACCCTAATTTTTCCACACAAACAAAAAAGTAGATAATGACCAAAAGCTATACCTGGTGATCACAATTACGGCAAGCGTAGAGCAGGATCTTCTGCTCCTTGTCCTCCTTAGGATACAGAATGTTGTTACTGAACCAAAATCAAACACAAACAACAATGCAATTAAGGAAGGACCCATAAACAAAATTCGAAGAAAGGTAGGAGCTTTATGCGAATTGACACCTTATAAACCATGGATGATTCAACCGAGGAAGAAAGACATCATAAGTAAACAACAAAAACTCAAAATTTCATGCAAATTTCGAAACTTTGAAAAAACCTAGACGAGCAGAGGTGCAATTCCAGAAACTAGGAGCAGATTTTAGCATAGAGAGCTCTTACCATTCGCGGCAAAATTTCATAGTACTCATCTTTGTTGAATCTCTTGAGAGAATTAGGTTCCAAAACTGAATCACAGTCTCAGAGAAATCTGGCGGGCTCGTTTTGGATTAGGAGGAAAATAATGCGATCGTCGTTCTAAATAACAGAGTCGTGATCTTCGAACGTAAATTCACGGGTTTTCTTGGGCTTTTGTAAAGCTTATTGGGCTTGACTCCATAATGACATTTCCCTTTAATAGAAGTTTTATTTGACCACATATGAAACAAAAAAAAACATGTTACGGAAATGTAATAAACTGGTATTATAAATATACAATAATTTTATATTGCAAGAAAAAAAAATGGGATCTCTAGTAGAACTTATGGCTATCTTAGTCATGACTATGTGTATTAGTGTTACAATATCTCGAGCCCAAAATGATATCATCAGTCCATCATCCGGTTTCGAGAACCCAAGAACAACAGTGGTGATATATAATGATCTTGGGGGTGATCTGCCATGGCGATATCATTGTAAATCAAAACAAGATGATCTTGGAGACAGGACTATGGCGGTAAATGGAACGTGGTCGTTTGAATTTAGACCCAATATTTTTGGAAGAACTTTATTTTTTTGTGGTTTTAGATGGGATAATGAGTTGCATTGGTTCGATATCTACAAACAGAAGAGAGACAAAGAATTCACAAAGTTTGGATGTAGAAGATGCGAATGGAAGATGCACAAAGATGGACCTTGCAAACTTAACAAAAACACTAAAATGTTTGATGTTTGTCTTCCTTGGAATTCTTAATCGTTTGAAAACAATTAACATCTATATGTCTACTTCTATTTGTCTAATAAACCATTAATAAGAAAAAGAACAAAACAAGTATTTCATATTTAGTTGAAAACACTGTTAGTTAAGAGGTAAGATTACGTTTATTTAACTAATTTTAACGAACTTATTTTGCTTTAAACGCACATTATATTTTTTTTTACATCAAAACGCACATTATATATAGTCTTGATGAGATTTCCTTTAATATATTTTTTTTTGATTACATATATTATACAACATATCAAATAGCTTTATATCAACCATGATGAGATTTCCTTTTATACATAAGTTTTACTTTGACTCATATTATTCAAAACATTTAAGTGCATTTACCTATGTAACTGAGTCAACAAAAAAAAAAAGCTTGTTAGGGAAACATAATCAATAAACTTTGGTATTATAAATACAATAAAGTATTGAGTGAAAGATTCCATATTCAATCTACTTTCATATTGCAAGAAAAAACAAAAACAACATGGGTTCTCTAGCAGAACTTGTAGCTCTCATAATCATTATGTGTACAAGTGTAACAATGTCCCTCGCTCAAAACCCCATGGCTCCAACAAGTTTTGAGAACCCAAATACAACAGTGGTGATATATAACGATCTTGAAGGTTCTTGGCCAATGTCATACCATTGTATATCAAAAGACGTTGATTTTGGAATCCGGCGTATGCCATCAGGTGGATCGTGGTCATTTGAATTTAGACCCAGTGCTGCTGGAGATACTACATTCCTTTGCAGTTTTGCTTGGAGACTAGCATATCGTTATTTTCGTATCTACATACAAGAAAGAGACCAAGAATCTGCAATGTTTGGATGCAAAAGATGCGAATGGAAGATACGCGAAGGAGGACCTTGCCAACTTAACAAAAGAACTGGAAAGTTTGATCATTGTCCTCCTTGGGATTCTCAATTGTTTGAAAACAATTAAAATTGCAGCTATGTATCTACCCTGTTTATCTAACAATAAATTAATGAAATAAAATATTTGTTTTTCAAAATTGACGTATAACGTTTTTTTTTTACCTTTTATTCGGTGTACTTAAGTTCTTATAGAAAAAAATTATGCATACGAGAATAAAATGGTCGTGATGTTGATCACATATCGGCATATTGTTGGCATGCGATAGATTTGTTCGTGTAGTTGTTTCTAAACTGCTTCATCACCATTCAGTTGTTTTTATTTAGTTATTTTTTCCTACAATATGGGGAAACTAGTTTTTAAAGTGATTTGATTTTAAGTTTGTTACAAAATGAAAAACCAAATACCCAAAAACTAATTTAAATTTTAATATTAATAGAAGAAAAAAAGGGCTACGGGGTACAATGGGCTTTAGACTTAAACCAGGTTTGAAAAAATGAAAGAAACGTCGTAAATGCCACGTGTACAAAAAAAAAGTGGTTAAACAAACGAACAAACAAACCGAGGCTTTGAAATCTCCGCCTCCGTTGTTGGCTATTTACACTCACTCTGTCTCCGCCGGTTCATTTCTCATCTGCGTCTTCCTCTGTTAGATCTCTCTCTTATTGCAATGCAATCAGCTATGGCGCTTTCGTTTTCCCAGACGTCGTTTACAAGACCAAACCACGTACTCGGATCAACTGGTTCCGTTTTTTCTACGCCTAGAAGTCTCCGGTTCTGCGGACTCCGCCGGGAAGCGTTTGGTTTCTCTCCGTCGAATCAGTTGGCTTTACGCAGTGACCGAATTCACATTCCAAGTAGGAAATCATTCCAAGTCTTCGCTTCTGCTTCGAGTAATGGTAACGGCGCTCCACCTAAATCTTTCGATTACGATTTGATCATCATCGGAGCTGGAGTTGGTGGCCACGGAGCTGCTTTGCACGCCGTTGAGAAGGTTTTGAAATTTATTTTGAATTGCTTAAACATGATTTTTGAATGTTTTTTATTTCATTTTTGAAATTAAAGTTTTGCTCTCTTTATATATTTATGTAAACACTGGCGATTTTGTTTGTGTTAGGGACTTAAAACTGCCATTATAGAAGGAGATGTTGTTGGAGGGACTTGTGTTAACAGAGGATGTGTACCTTCTAAAGCTCTTCTTGCTGTTAGTGGTCGAATGCGGGAACTTCAGAACGAACATCACATGAAGTCCTTTGGTCTCCAGGTTCATATCAACTACTTGTTCTCTGTATAAAGTTGCAAGCTTTGTCTTTGGTGTGAAATGGTTGTAGAAGATCGAGCTAGTGTAGAAATTACTCATTGCCTTTCACTATCTTATGGTTTTTGGTTTTCCTTTGGTTAACAGGTTTCAGCTGCTGGGTATGATCGTCAGGGTGTGGCAGACCATGCTAATAATCTGGCTACCAAAATACGAAACAATCTGACCAATTCAATGAAGGCACTTGGTGTTGACATATTGACTGGATTTGGCAGTGTTCTGGTCAGTACGTGCTTTTCTTTCACTTTGACTAACTGTAGACAAGAACATGATATATATTTGTTGAATGATGATCCTAAATCTTTGAAGTTTTGTATTTCTGCAGGGTCCACAAAAGGTTAAATATGGGAAGGACAATATTATTACTGCAAAAGATATAATCATTGCCACTGGATCTGTTCCGTTTGTCCCTAAAGGAATTGAAGTTGATGGTATGTTTCTTGTTTTGAACGTAGAGTTGTTTAGGGAGCAGACAGACTTGATTATTCCTTGAATGTTTACATTTTCATGCTGCAGGAAAGACTGTAATCACCAGTGACCATGCTTTGAAATTGGAGTCTGTCCCTGATTGGATTGCAATTGTAGGAAGTGGTTATATTGGTCTTGAGTTCAGTGATGTTTACACAGCACTTGGAAGTGAGGTAACATGATTTTTTTGTACTAATGATATTACTTTAGTATGACTTTGTGATGTTGTGTCCTTGTACTTGAGATTGTAATAACTGCAACTTAGCAATGTTCTCCAATTTTCTAGTCTTTTTTTTTGTTTCTTATTGCATTGAGCTTCTTGTTGTGCATATAGTAGTAAAACAGGTTTTAAGGTACCAATCTGTTGGTTTCTCATCTAAATTGTAGTTAGTGATAGAAAACGGGAACCTTTTGTGCAGGTAACTTTTATAGAAGCACTGGATCAGCTAATGCCTGGATTTGATCCTGAGATCAGTAAGCTAGCTCAGAGGGTTTTGATAAATCCAAGAAAGATTGACTATCATACTGGGGTCTTTGCAAGCAAAGTGAGCCTGTTAAATCATGCATTGCAAATACTGCTTTTTTTTTTTCTCTTTACAGTGTGTCCATGTATTCATCTGTTAAACTTAAATCTGTTCTTATTCAGATTACTCCGGCAAAGGATGGGAAACCAGTTCTGATTGAGCTTATTGATGCCAAAACCAAGGAACCTAAGGATACTTTGGAGGTAACCAGACATATAAAAGATAGGGAGATCTGATGTCTCACAAATAGAGAAACATTTAACAGTTACTTAGTATCCATGCCTGAATTGGGAAGATATGTGCCGTTGGTAGTGGGTCCTTAGAAGTCGTGTTTTTTCACTATTTTTCTTTTTGCTGCAATATTAACCACATTGTTACTCTTCCCACAGATATATAAGTATACAAATCATGACATAAGTTGCTTAGTAAATCTTCTCATTTTCTGAATTTATTGTGGTCTTTTCCTCCCCAAATAGAATAAAAATAGACAAATAGTCATGTCTTTTGGTTCCATTTCATTTTACCAAGTGATTTTCTGCGCTGAAAGTGTGAGTTTGCTTCCCTTCTTCAGGTAGATGCTGCTCTTATTGCTACTGGAAGAGCTCCATTCACCAATGGACTTGGCTTGGAAAATGTATGAGATGACACCAAATCCCACCTTTTAGTATTGTCATTTTGGTTACCAGAGAAGATTTGTTTGTCAGAAAATTAACCTTGAAGCTGTCATCTCAACGCAGGTCAATGTCGTGACACAGAGAGGTTTCATACCAGTTGATGAGAGAATGCGTGTGATCGATGGAAATGGGACTCTGGTCGGTTTTATTTGCATATACATACCTTTTCTTATCAGCAATTCTTTCTATATGCTAAATTCATTTTTGCTTGATAGGTTCCGAACTTGTACTGCATTGGTGATGCCAATGGTAAATTGATGCTTGCACATGCAGCCAGTGCCCAAGGAATTTCTGGTAAATGGCTTATCAGTAGACTACTAATAATGCAGTATATATTTTCCTTCTTTTTCTTCATGAGCCTTGTATTAAACTCTGAGCTCTTACTCTGTGGCTAGTGGTCGAGCAAGTCAGCGGTAGAGATCATGTGCTTAATCATCTTAGCATCCCAGCTGCTTGCTTTACTCATCCTGAAATCAGCATGGTTGGATTGACAGAGGTAATTCTATATCCTAGTGCACTTAGTGCTTTTTGGGAGGGTCAAAAGGAAGAATGTTATGAGCAAAATATGCTTACTGTAACTCCTTAGGTTTTGACCTTATTCCCTTGATTGTCAGCCTCAAGCGAAAGAAAAAGGCGAGAAGGAAGGATTTAAAGTTAGTGTTGCCAAGACAAGTTTCAAGGCTAACACAAAGGCCCTAGCTGAAAATGAAGGAGAAGGAATCGCAAAGGTGGGAGAAGCAAAAGTTGTTGATTATTTATGGTTCATGAAAGAACAAAGAGATCTCATTGCTTTCATTATGCAGATGATATACCGACCTGACAACGGTGAAATCCTAGGAGTTCATATATTTGGACTGCATGCAGCTGACCTTATCCATGAAGCTTCTAATGCGATCGCTCTAGGAACACGCATTCAGGTAGGATTTGTGATACTCTAGCAGTCTAGCTGCTTATTTCCCTGATTACTATTGGATTTAGCTCCTAGCCTTTATTGATAATATCCTACAGGGAAATCGAGTCATATACATAGTACCATAGGTGTTGAAACTACTAAATGCATTATTTGTATCTCTTTCTTGATCCCCTGCATGGTTTACTGGTATCTCTGCAGGACATAAAATTGGCAGTTCATGCACATCCAACACTGTCTGAGGTCCTCGACGAACTGTTCAAAGCAGCCAAGGTAAAGCAAAACAGTCTACAAGTTTTTACAAAACACACTTTTTCATACTCATGCCATTGATCAGCGAGCCCCTTTTATTGTTAACTGCAATCAATAGATTTAACTCCTCTACTAAAATGCAAAAGAATCTTACACTTCAAGTTCAATTTTCAGGTTGAAAGTCATGCTACGACAAGGACAGTAAGTGAAAAAGTGGTTGTATAATAAGAAACCAAAAACTTATTGGAGGGGGAGAAACATCTTGAAGAAAGAATATTTGTGCTTGTACTTTAGGGAGATGCAAAGATAAAGCTAAACACGAACCAGGAAGATGGAAGAAGAAGACGTAGAGGAGATGATGACAAACAACAACCTTCAGTAAGTGAACACTTGAAAGATATATCTACAAAGCCTTCTTCTTTCTTTGACAATATTTATGTTGGAGTCTTATCTCTGCTTTCACGTATATTTGTTTAATTGTTCCATGGTTTCGATTAGTGAATATTGTGCTTTTGATGTTTGAAGTGATAAAGATAATAAATGATTTTGGAAGATTCGTCTCTTTTACTAGTAAAATCACTAGTCTGGCCTAGTTTAGACTTTAGACTACAAATGTTCATAAGATTTTTCTTTAGTTACTTGCAATTTTATTCTACAAATATACAAGTCTAGATTACACCAAAGTCCCAGAGGAATCCAATTATAGAAATAAACAAATAAAAACTATATCTATTTGTTAATTTTGTCTCTCTTTTTTCATACAACTAATTTCAGGAAGGTCGAGAGTACCCTTTTCCATTCACATAATTTACAGATCAATTACCATCAATGTTCAACACCAAACTTCTCTTTGACTCACCTCTCCATAGCCAATTTAGTATCAAATGTCTTCCAGGCATTCGTACTCCAACTGCATCACACCATAAACAAGACTCGTTGTTAATTCAAGTATGAACTTATCTCTCCGGTTAGAGTTATTTTTATTCAAAACTGAGAGATTCAGAAATGTCGGAAGATGATTTCACCTGAGCTTCTTCATGAGTCAGTTTCATCCTTCTGTAATCCTCTTGAGCCTTCTTAGACCTGAACATGGCTTGGACTCGCACTACAGATCTCTCGAGCCTTTCTTCTGCTTGTCTCTGGCTTGTCTTGTAGAAATCTTCCTGTGCCTCACCAGGAGAATCCTCCTCTGCTGCAACCTGGAGTCCTCTAAAACCTTTTCTCTTTTGTCTCCACCTCAAAACTGCCTTCTCCAACACTCCTACCGACCATAAAATCTTCTTGTACTGCCTTCTTGCTTGTAACCCCCTGAAAGCAGCCTGTAAAAGAGGAGTAAATACACTTATGATAAATTCAGAAAAACATTATGATAGAGGTTGCTGAATCTTGTGTGGTTCTCTTAGTTATTTCTTAGAGGAATAATGGTTCACTTCATACCTGGATCCTAATTGCTTGACGCCGCATGTTTAGATACTCTCTTCGTATTTTCCAAGTTTGGAACCTGCACTGAATCCGGTAAGCAGCTTCTATCTTCCTACGTGTATCATATTTCCGGAACGCATTCTGAATCTTCATTGCCGCGATTATGCTCTTAGCCTCTTCTTCTTTGTTAGCAAACTGAATCACGCTTGACCGTGCTGCCTTCAGCGCTTTTTCCCTAAAAGCACCCTGAATCCGAGCCGCTGCTTCTGCAGCTGTTCTGTATGCTGCAAGAGCGTCCTTAAGACTTTGCTCATCTTCCGGGAGAGTGCCTTGGTTCAACATCTCCGCCTTGCAAGCCTCCAGGTCGCCACTGATGTTTCCAGCAATTTTCATGTCTCTAAACTGAGCAACCAAACATTTCTCAGCAAGATAAGCAGCTAAACCGTCATATCCGTTTTGCTGTGCCAAATCAGCTGCCATGCATCCGCCAAGATTATCCTTCGTCGAGTCTGTCACCAGGTTCGGTCTCGCCCCAGCAGAGAGAAGAGCAGCCACCATTTTCTCCCTTCAAAACCCAAATAAAAAAAATTTGTAAACGGAAACAAGTTAACTTCCAACAGAGTACTTATAACTGTATAAAAGAGATAAGTTTTTTTTACCTTCCATAGTATGCTGCCCAATGAAGAGCAGTCCACCCTTGTTTATCACGGAAATTCAACGATAAGCCTGCCAATGAGAACAGCTGGACCGACCAAGTGTATCCAAGAATGGCACAGAGGTGGATCACACCGAGGCCTTTAGAATCATAATCCAATGTGTTGCGACCTTCAAGCACTTTCTCCATAAGCCATTCCTTAAGCCTGTTCTTCAGAGTAAGCTCGAAGAGATGATCTTTCGCTTGATCAAACGACACCTTATTCCCCTGGATGGACTTGATTAGATAAGCCCAGCTGTTTAAGAGATGGTTTGTTTTGCTAGCGAGTTTTTTAGCATCTCGCAGGTTAGAAGGTGAGATTTTGCTGGAGAGAACGTTGAGTTTGTTGGAAGAAGTAAACAGAAGATGAGAAAGTCTGACTTGGAACTCAAATTCTTCCCATTTGGATTCTTGATTTTCTTCAGGGACGGTCTTATCAAGAACTGGGACTGAACGGTGTTCGAACCTGAAACATTGGCTGATTGGTTTGTGTCCATCTGCACTAAGATAGAGGTTTACCATCCCAGGCGAGTGCGGAGGTATGATGCAACGGTACACTCCCGCCTGGAGATATTCCGCAGGGACACAAAAGTCACCGCAAACGCAATAAAGGTTTGATCTTTCGAGATGTTGATAACTGTCGTGCAAGAACCCAGTTACCAGAATCTGCAGAATCAGTATATAAGAAAGTTATGCTTTCCATTTTGTAATTCAAACCAATTCTTTTATTCATATGATTATACATACCTTAGTTTTCTCTGAAGAATAGGCCCAAGAAGGTGAAACATCGGTTATGTTAAACACTTGTTCAGGTATGTTGGAGTGAGAATGAAATACAGCTTGAGGAGCTAATGGATCCTGCTTAGGCGTAACCATGGGTTCAAAGGAAGGATCCTCCAGCGAGCCATTAGATTCACTGATAAATGAATTCATCCACCTTCCAAAACTCTCTCGACTTTGTGGACCGTTGTTAAGCAAAGCATCAAGAGATCCATCAGCCACTGTCGCATTCCCATGCTCTGCAGTGCCATTTGCAGCATGCGGTTCTGTGAAGTATGACAGATCATCTGATCACAAAACAAAACAAAAAAGATTTTATTTTCAACATCATCCCACTGTTCTCTAACTGTACAAACAGATATGCTCAAAATTCTGTGTAACTTACCTACGGTTGGTGCAGAATGGGTGTTAAGATCGGCTGGTACTAGCAGCTCATCCCAATCAAGCGTATTGATATCATGAAGGCTAATATCATGATTTCTAACAACTGTATCATTGTTGCTTGCTGTGAGTCACCAAAAGAAAGTGTGATAAGTTTATAAATGAAATAATCAGAGAAAGCATTTTAAGTTTGCAAACAGCAAATCCATAGTGGCAATGGGACACATAAAAACTGTGAAAAACCGAGATCACTTAAAGATTGCTTCTCACCTAGATAACGTGAGTTCTCAATGCTAAAATCAATATCTTCAGCTGCCACGCGATTTGGGAATGCTTGATCAGAGACGGAGATTGGACTAGAGTTTGAGTCCCCTGATGTTGTAGCTGCCTGAACATATCAGTGCGAAAAAAGCCTATCAATTGGAGACCGTTACTATTCAGTAGAGAAAGAAAGCATCCAAACATGGACAGCAAAGAAATTCATCACACTGATCCATCCATAACTTTCTAACATAAGAAACACAAGTGAGAGTTGAGAACATGTAGAAAAGAAAACAAACCTCCTGTGTATCACGGTAATGTACAAGGACGATGTTCTCTCGAGCCCTGACATAAGAAGAAGAGATCATTTACTTTCATAACCTTAAGAATTAGAAACATGAGGAAAACGGCCTCCAGTCAAGTGGTTTCTAAATGGACATATAGTAGAAAAGTCAGTGATCTTTGCTTACTACATACTTATCTAGTAACCAATAACACCTTCGAACAAAGGTAGTGTTATCTTCACCGTGCGCATAGTATACATGAATCCTTTCCTCGTCACCGACCTGGCATCATTCAGAGGACATAAATTAGCTGACCAAAAAACAAAAGTCACGATATAACCTTTTAAGATAACTCTACATTTTAACATAAATTAGCTACAAAAAAAACTCACTTTCAGGTGTTCATGAGCCTCTTTCACCGTCCTTCCATCCTTTTTCTTTTTCCAGTTATGACCATCCTTTCTGAAGTTCCTCAACATCTTACGGTCGAACAATATAATTCTGCCACCTACAAAATAATGAAAACATAACAACATCAGTGTAAGAAGTCATGGAAACTTGAAGAAACATTATGAAATATTGAGTGGCTATTGTTGAATGTTCTTACTATTGGGTAAGTTCACTGGCTTGACATTAATGGTGAAGTATATAGGATTAGAGAGGATTGCATGGATCTCGTTTGGCCGTAGCCACCTGCTTTTTGCTTCTTCCAACATTGTCTGGACATCAAGATCTGCAAAACACACAACCAGATATTATATCAAGAAACATCAGGCAAAATGAACATAAACACACTCAAAGCAGAGTTCAGTAAGAATTCAATATATCCATCAATCATCATATATACAAATATGTTTCTAGCTTTTGTTCTTACAAGTTACAACATCAGTCAACTTGTTCAAACATAACACATAATTTCACACTTTCCTTCCAAAAAACCTCTGAAGTCTGAATTTACCAAATTCAAATTCGATAGATGCCAAAAGTCGTTTGTTTTCCAAAATTTTTTACACTATAAACTTCTGAATCATACTAAATCCACATATAAACCTCAATTTCACAGTAACTGCAAATTCAATTTCAATGGCTGCAAAGGAACAAAAACGGCCACGTCAAACAATACAACGTGTAATAAACTCCAAACCCGAGGATAAATTATTTTAAACTTTTATATTTTTAATATAACCCTCGACTACTACAGCTTCATCAACAACAAACAAGACACTGAAAGAGACAAAACAACCAGCGAATCAAAAACAATTAAAACAAAAAGTTAAACAAAGACTGAACTCTCAACTAATTTCCAGAAATCAAGAACTGGGTCTTACCTTGTAAGGTATGGAATCCATGAATTTCCGAGCCGATTAGTCTACCGGAACCGTCGTCCATCTTGATTTCACACTCGTTTTTCGAAGCTTTGACCAAAAATCTGATGAAGAACCCTTAATAAACTGGATAACAAAGTCAAAAGTAAAGATTTTTTATCTGCTCATATAGATTTCTTCTTGAGAGAAACAATGGAATCGAGCTTCGATGGTCTCTGAAACAGATGAGAGTGATTAAAAGAAACGGAATGTTCCGTTAATTTTTTAGGGGATTTTATTGAGTTTGGAAAAGTTGAATTTTCAACGATATACTTTTATGAATTTGCAGTTTTGCTCCCCTACCTACTTTTATTTTCCGAAACTACGTTAACCTTCTAATCTATCAATTGGACCTATGAAAATGTAACATCTGTACCATTCATGATTTTTTTTTTTTTTTTGTCATCCGTAATTAAATAGTGCTCAAAAGAGCCATTCTTGTGGAATGTTGTTTACATAAGTGATATGAAGCGGTTCCGTACGAACTTTTCGTGCCAGATTATCCGCTTAATGATTCTTAAAGCTGAAATTTATAACGCTTTTTGGTTTGTTTGTTTTGATTGATTGATTAAGATAAGCGATAAACATAAAGACGGGAGAGACCTATAGCACAAATATAAAAACCTCATTGAATATCATGAACTAACTATATCTTTGAATATGGCATGTCCAAATATAGCCATATAGGTATAATAACATTTGGTACCGATATAAAACTTATGAAAAAAATCTTTAAAAAAAATAATGAAACGAATGGCAAAGTTTTGATCAGAAAAGAAAAAACGAGTGGCAACTCCAAAATGTAAACATGATACTAGAAAAGTGGTTGATAAAGGGAGAAATAAAGAGCGACCAGACCAGAGCTTTTAATCGATCATTCATTATCCGCGGCGGGTGTACGAACAGACGTGGACTGTTTACATACTACGTGGTTTCATAATAATGGTTCATCATTTATTCCGGGGTCCAAGGCTTTTTGGTCTCACCCTCTATTTATTATCTTTTCTTTTTTTTTAGGGGCCAAAAAAAAAGTCTCACTACTTTATTAAAATTGACAATTACAAGATAATCTCAGGAGAAAACTAATGAAAAGACCGGTCTCCTAAATCGGTCGGACCAAATAGACAAAGCACCAACCAATCTAATTTATTTTCGATACCTCTTAAAATTCCGCCGATAGGCGATACCTCTAGCACAAAGAGTAAATAATTTTACAGATATGTAGTTTATTTCAGTTTGTTTTCTATATCAGTTGAAATCAAATATAATTTATATTATATACCTAAATCTAAATAAAAAAAATTTCCAACATTGAATTATGCAATAAAATATTGCATTTAACGTAAGATATTAATTGATATATTAACGTAAGATATTAATTGATTTGACGTCATCTTCTATAATAAAACGGCAAAAACCTTAATAGTTACTACAAAACTCTAAGCTTTCGAGTGAAGATTGGTTTCTAAATATTGCATTCATTCAGAAGGATAGCATGAGCAATGCATGAGACAGCTATATTTTGGCCCAAAGTTTTATTTTAGGGCAAAGAGGAAAACGAAAGGGATCGAGGACTAATCCACAAGTATAGGTGAAAATGGCTATTTCAATGATATTTCATATTATAACATTGCTCTCTCGACCGTTGGAAGAATATGGAAGTTATCTCTCGATGATGGAACTCTTTTGTGGTGGTGATATATGCTCCGTTTTTCGAATGAATGTTTTGTTTTGGGATCGAATGAGTTTTTTGGGTTGAACACCTCTAGCACAAAAATTTAATTATTTTACCTTTAAGAGAAAGAAACAAAAGATGATGATTTTACATATAATTTTTATTTCAGTGTGTTTTTCGATATCAGTTTTGAAATCAAATAAATTTTATACCATATACCTAATCAACCTAATTATAAGCAAACTTTTCCAACATTAAATTATAAAATAAAATCTTCCATTTTACTTAAGATATTGAATGATCATAATGATCCTATACTATTATTTGGGGAGTACACTTTATAAGAAACTCTTAACTAACCTTCTCTTTTGTAAAAAATTACATGAGAATGCCATTAGAAATAAAATTTTATAGAGTAAATTAATTCAACTCATTAAGGATAAACAAGTCAAATACTATTTTATGCAATTTAATTAATTTAATTTAATTATAAAACGAAAATCTATTATTAATTTCTTTAAAAAGAATGACCAATCAAAATGAACATATAAGATTTGATATCTAACTTACCATATTAATTTGTTATTAATCATTATACTTCACCTCTCATTTTTGTATGATTCTATTTCTATAAATAAATAAATCATTATATCATTTATATAATTAAAAAAAAGTAATTTTTTTTCCGCATATACCAAGATTTGAATTTTTTAAAACGAATATAAATTATTCAATGTATGAAAGAACAAATTTAACGGGTCAAAAATTCATATTTGAGTAATATATTTCTTTTTTTTTTAATATCATCAATACTTAATAGATCAAAAATTTATGAAGTATAAATACTCTAATTTGATTTTTTGAAACAAATATTTATAATAGGCGGCGGGTTGAATATAATATATTATATGATGAAATGAGTTATGATCCTTATAACTATTTGAATATTTATATTTAATTTCATATCATTTTTTTTAATTCATAATTTTACATACTACAATAAAAAATTTTAAAGATTTTAATTTGGAACATTTTAAAAAAGTTTAATTTAATATATTAAAGAATATCATAAATATAAAATAGATTAAAAAGATAAAAAAATATTATAAATACATTAATTTGGTTTTCTAAAAAGATATGTTTAAAATATTTATAGTAGGCGGCGGGTTAAATGTTATAACAGACGGCATTTTAAGATTTTATGATGAGATGAGTTAAATAAGGTTTGACACTTCTAAATATTTGAAAATTTGATTCTGCAAGCAATTTTGAAAATAATAAATAATAGATTGTGCCGCAATATTTTCATAGGAATTGTAAAATAAAAATATAGACTCCACACACGGATTGAATTTGGTATTATTATATACCAAATATATGTTCATGACATATTTGATTATGTGAATAATTGGTAAATTCCGTAATTAGCTCAAACAAATTTCTATTTCAACAACCAATGACTCAGAATTTGAAAAAATAATTTCCTAAATTAATTCAAAATAATAGCTAATTTTCTTAAGTAATTCAAAATAATCTACGTTTTAGATGCGATTCATTTATGATATTTTGAGTTTTGATCTAACTAAATTATATGCATTCTCATTTTGTGGTTGTTAACATAAATTAACTCATTGTTCAAATAATATTAATTTTTTTTAAAATAATATTATTTTCCGTTTTCATATCTTAAAAAAAAATATCCATAATTGAATACTATAGAAAAAAGAAAATATACTCATTCTAATATTATATATAGGGACTGACAAAAAAATATTATTTTTTCACTTACTATTATAATATATCCAGTGTTCAAGAAAGCGCTAGGTGCTAAGCGGGCGGTGACCCAGTGCCTAGCGCTTAGAACGCCTAATCGGGGCCTACGCGATTTTTTAGGCGGTTTAGACGTTTATAACATAAAACATTATAAATATGATATTATACATAAAAGTTATATAAAATATCTATATAAAACTAAAAATTATGAAATTATAAACAAAAACTAGATAAAACATTTATTTATATTTATATTAAACAATATATGAATATTTATAACTATATATATAAAAATAAAAATCTAATTGAAATTGAAAAAAATACATTAAACAAGATCTATGTAATTTTAGGCGGTCAAGGCGGTTATCTAGGCGTCGCATGAGAGCATAGCGCTTAGTCGGGCCTAGACCGCTTTTTAGAACACTGAATATATCACAACTTTATTCTAAAACATAAAATTTATAAATTTTGTAATAAATGAAATTCAACCCGTACTGTAGTACGGGTGATGATCTAGTAATATAAACATCAATTGTCTTTAATTTGACCATATTCACAAGTGTCAGATTTTTTTTTGTAAATATTAATTGGTTCTCTTTGATTTGGGACTATCCATACTAGATTAATCAAGCATTTATTTGAATGAATTCAAATGATTTTTGGCTAAAAATAAAATTTTGACTTACATAAATGGAAAATCAATCAATAATAAAAATATTTTGAAGACCAAAAGTTATATAAATAGAGCCTATCTTTAAATAAAATTTATATCATATACCTAATTATAAGTAAAATATTTCAATATTAAATTATGAAATAAAATCTTCCATTTGACTTAAGATATTGATTGATCATAATTGTCTTTAATTTGACCATATTCACAAGTGTCAGACTTTTTAAAAAACAATAAGTTTTCTTTGATTTGAGACTATCCATACTAGATGAATCAAGCAGTTATTCGAATAAATGTAAATGATTTTTTGCTAAAAATAAAAAAATTTGACTTACATAAATGGAAAATCAATTAATAATAAAAAATATTGAAGACCAAAAATTATATAAATAGAGCCTATCTTTAAGATCTGACAAATTGAAAACATTTAACCTCCTCAATAGAGTTCATACAAAAAATTACTATGGGTAGTACAAAAGCTTTGGTGACTTGTTTACTTGTAATAATATTTGCAGTTATGTTGTCTAACCACAACGTTTTGGCTTCAAGTACATTTAAATTTTGATCTAATTATCTTAAATAAGTAGTGATTATTTCAATAGCTATATTCGAATACGTATAGTTTGTAGTGACCATGATTTGTATATTCAGTAGCTACATTCGAACTTACATTCAAAATTTTGCTAAAAATTATTCAAGACATGTTACAGAATTGTACTTTTATTGATGTTACATACTCATGTTTATATCGATTATGTTTAATATTAATGTGGGCTTGTGTATATGCAGAGATTGAAAACGTCTCATATGACAACTGTAGGCATTTGTGTTCGGATACATACGGATGGTTTGAATGTATGAATGACTGTGAGGCAGCTGGATTTATTAATGGCGGAAAGTGTGCTTCTCCTTCTCCTAAAGACCCTCTCAAATGTTGTTGCCAAAAGTAATATAGACACATCCTCTCCCTAAAAATTGGCGATTCTAGCGTTGCATTTATTTTTCCTAAGCCATTGGACTTGATTTGTCTCTTGTGTTTACAAATAAATGTGATGATATAAAAAAAAATATTTATTATAATAAGT